AGTGGGCTACAGATTTTACAGACGACTGTGTTTCAAAGACAGTTTGAATTTCCTCCCCTGGGCGCTGAAAACATTTCCAGAGACCTTTGAACTGAATGACCTGAAGAAAGTTGTTCAATACCGAAGCCAACCGAAGCCCTATCCATCAGCCAGCATGTACGATCCCGATGGCATGTCTCCTACGGAACGCACCGCCTTCCTCCAGTGGCATGCTAAGAAAGTTCATGAAGGAGCCTTGTTTGACTTGCAAGAAGAATTCTTAGCCTACTGCCAGAGCGATGTCGATATTTTGAGACGTGGATGCGCTACCTTCTGACAGAACTTCATCAGGACGGATTGCATGGATCCCTTTGTAGAGGCTACGACACTCCCTGCACTCTGCATGAAAACCTTCCGAAAACGGGATCTGAAACCCAAAATCATAGCCATTCTTCCACCTCCAGGCTACCAACCCAAGAGGAAATATTCCCAGGCCTGTATGAACTGGTTATGTTATCTCATGGAGACCGACCCGGATCTGCACATCCAGCACGCCAAGAATGGAGGTGAAAAGATGTTCACGTGCAGACAGTGTAAACATCGTTACAGTGTTGATGGGTACGATCCAGCAACAGGCACCGTCTATGAATTCATGGGCTGTTGAACATGGAGAACCTCATGCTGTCCTGGGCATGTCGATGGGAGCACGTCATACCAACACCCACTATCGCCTTAGTCTCTTGCACCAACACCCTGATGTGAAACGTATCGTTACCCTGTGGGAGCACGAATAGGAAAAACAGCAATGGTCAGACCCCGCTTTGCACGCTTTCCTGCAGGGACCACACTGTACCAACCTACCTGGACCGCTAAACCATCGCAACACCTTCTATGGAGGACGAAGCAATGCCACGCAATTATGCAATGAGGCCCAAGAAGGTGAAACCATCAAGTATATCCTTATCTGCTCGCTTTATCCCCACATTTGCAAGACCCGAGAGTTTCCCACGGGACACCCGATCATTCTCCATCAACCCCCTGTGGAGACGTTGTTTGATCTGAAAGGGCTTATCCAATGTCGTGTCCTACCCCCGAGATGGCTCTACCATCTGCTACTGCCCTACAGATCGGGTGGAAAACTACTCTGTCCTTTGTGCCGCACGTGTGCTGATACCCGGTCAGACCCACCCTGCGAGCACACGGACGAAGAGAGGGCTTGGGTGGGCACGTACACCACCATAGAACTCCATGAAGGCGTGAAGAAGTATGGCTACAAAGTGCTTCAGATCTACGAAGCTTGGCATTTCGACACCTTTGCAAAGTATGACCCCAACACCCAGGAAGAAGGACTCTTTGACCGCTATATCGACCGTTTTTTCAAGCGGAAGCTCGAAGCTAGCGGATACCCCAGGGATGTACCGATCACGATGCTTACATCAAAGAGATCTATGGGAAAGAAGGCATCCGGTTGGACAAGGACAACATCAAGAAGAACCCAGGACTCTGCGCTCAGGCCAAGCTCTGTCTTAATTCACTCTGGGGCAAGTTCGGACAGTGCTTAGACTAAAGTTGAACCGTCTTTATGAACGAACCTGCCCAGTACTTTGCTCTGTGGAGAGATGAATGAAATACCATGGACGATATCACCCTCGTCAATGAACATATGGTGGAAGTGACCTATACCCGCATGGAAGAATTCCAAACCCCTCATCCTCATTTCAATGCCACAGCGACTGCTTGGGTCACCACACAAGCGCGTCTCAAGCTGAACGAGACCCTCACCCTGGTGGGTCGCAGGGCCTTGTACTTCGACATGGACAGCCTCATTTACGTTCATTGACCCAACGAAACGAATCCAGAGCTGGGCCATTCATTGGGTAAGTTTACAGACGAGCTGAACGGAAACACCATCAAGACGTTTGTGTCAGGAAGTCCCCCAAACTATGGCTATGACTTAATGAAGCCAAGAACCGATGGAACTTTGGTCTGCAAAGTGCGAGGGTTCACCTTGAATTACAGAAACCATAAACACCTCACCTTTGACACCATGAAAGGACTGATTATGGGACAATGGCCTGGGAAGGAGGGGGAGAGAATCGGCTTGCATTACCCCCATCAGATCATTCGTAAAGGACCTCAGCATGGGAACGATCTTGTGACCCGACCCACCCGAAAAGACTACCGTGCCCTTTACGACAAGCGATGGAATGTCTACAATGAAACCACAGGTCTGCCTGTAGTCACGCTCCCCTTTGGGTACAGAGACTAGACCATTTTTTTTTTTCATGATGTTCCTCATGATGTGTTTGCTGTTGGCGTTTTATCTGGAAGACAGACGTGTTCGGAGAGAGTACTATCATGGTATAACATTTATACTAAGTTATCCTATAATAATTAGATCCACATCAAGTGCTTTTATGAGTTATCATGGTGTAATATTTATACATCATTTCATATAATTATAGTTTAGCAAGTAATACTTATCATCAGGTAAAATGTATATATAAAATATCAGTAGTTTCAGTTATAGCTTTTATAGATAGATGCTAGCCTAAGGTAATGGGAGCGCATCTCCTAGACATACTATTCAATAAATCAAGAGTTAGGTCTACATAGTTTAATTGATTTGAAGCTTTTAGATAAATGCTAGCCTAATGTATCAAGATCCCATCTCCCAGACAAAAGATATGTCTACATAGTCTTATAGATTACCTTGAACTATTTTATTTAAGTAAATCTCTCATCACCTATATTAGAATAACATTCAGCAATTACTTCAATTTAGACTCATTAAGGATTAGCCCCAATACAAGCTTGTCTATAGTGCATTAAGGATTAGCCCCCATACAAGGTCGTCTATAGGGCATTAAGGAATAGCCCCATACAAGCTCGTCTATAGTGCATTAAGGATTAGCCCCCAACACAAGCCCGTCTATAGTGACACCATAATCTCTTTCAAAGCATCCAGTAAATATGTCAACAAGATTAGTGCCAGTCCAACAGGATTAACAGGATTAAGTATTCCCCTCAGTCTAGCCATTCATTTAGCATAGGGCACAACCAATCGTGTATCAACCAATCATATTCCATTTTATTGTTCTAATTTTTGTTAAATACATACAGGAACCTTGTTAGGGCAGAGAAGGGGTTTGACTCTCTTACCAAGCAGACCTCTCTCCCACAGCCCAGAGTGTTGTACCGACTCTCTGTGGCACCCTCAGTTATTTTATAAGTATATTGTAAATTGTTAATTGTTCTTGTAAATAAAATTGTGATTAGTCTCCTGTGACTCCGGCTCTTTGCTGACTAATTCCCCAAGAAAACCAGCACGCCATTTGGAAGGTATTGTTCACCCAGAACAGTTCCATGATAGTACCATGCCCTGCTCACTTCCATCCGTGAAGCCATGAACCCACGGACCGAAAGTGGATCGACATACACCACTTCGAGAGACTAAAAACAGGATCGAAATCTGACCAATCAGAAGCTTGGGTTTTGGACCAATCAGAGACCGTCTCCGGCCTGGGCAGTCCTCTGATTGGTCAAAACACTCTTGTGCTTCCTCTCCCATGGTACAAGCCTGACCCTATGGAAAAGAAACACAACGGGTGTGCCACACGGGGTGGCGTGTGGGACAGAAACCAACCAATGAGAAGGTCGGGTTCTTCACCAATGAGAAGGTCGGATTTTTCCACCAATCAGGAAGCAGGGTTTCAGTGCCTTTAATACGACAAACATTCTCTTGCCATCAGTTTTCATTGAACGGTCCAAGCAGCAACACCATCACCTGTGGTTGGTCGAACCGGGGTTGTGCTTTCTCTCCCATGGTAAAATCCATTTCCTGTGGAAAAGAAACACAAGGGTCGGTCCGTTTTGGAAAACCAGGGCTCAGGCCAGGCACCGGAATGGACCAATCGGCGCGCTGCGTTGTCGACCAATCAGAAAGCAGGGTTTCAGTGCCTCTCCTATAAAAATAAAAAAAGATCGAAGCCACACACACGGTCACAATCCTAGCACTGAATGAGAAGAGATCAACCATGTCGTCTCGATGCAACTTTATGTAGTGCCAGACAGTCACAGTTACCTGTACTGCCCTGAAGTAAGCAAGCTCCGACGTTCATACAGTTTGGCCCCAACTCTGTGAAGCTTCATACTCCAACGAACTCACACAAAGTGAAGGTCAATTCTTAAATGAACGACAGTCAACTTGGTAGTGTTCACCTAGGCGAGGTCATCCACTACTGTCAATATAATTATATAGATATGCTACTACAACTGCACCAGTGAGTTGCGTGACAATACATATGTACACATCAATATGACCTATCGCTAGTTCTCCGTACCAGTGTAAACATAGGATAACTACGGAAATTGAAATAGATTTTCACGATTTAGGATATTTTCTCAATGAAAGTTATAACCATTCTATGACATATGTTTATCTACATATGTAGACTTGTCAAACATGAAACAGATGAAACACATATGCAATATCTTGAATGGTCACATATGGCACTGGCCTGTGGCAGAGGTACAATGCTGGTCGCATCGAACTCTGGGTAGGAGAGTGATATGTTTGATACCAGTTATCTCAAATGGGTTTCTCACCCACAGGTGTGTAAGAAATATAATCTTAGCTCTAGATCTATACCAATCAATTATAGATCTATATTTGCATCCGTTTTTGCAAGCTACATAAGTTATTTAACTATTTGTATGAATATACAATCAGAATCTATATGTCGGGATTACAAAAGCCTAACCTTACGCACATTGTAGCTGTTGATAACGAATCAATGCCGTGCCCGTATGCGGTCTCTCGACATACTTGGATTCTGCAGTAGAGCTAGACGGCGTGGTTACCTCCCTTTCCTTTGAACGCGGAACGAGAGGCCACAGGCCAGACTTTGTATTGGCTTTGTGAGAGAACGAATTATGATCCTGGCGTTTAATGTGAATGCTGTTTTGTATAAGTGTGACCAGGATCTGCCAAGAAGTGATCAAAGGTAATATTTCCATGTATCTGCAATACCATGCATTCCGTGAATGGTTCGCAATTGGTCAGTTCAAGCGCGATGTAGCGACCTTGCAACAGTCGGCCATGACGGATATGCTCCAGACGCCATGCAGCAGTCTATCTCGGGAACACCAACCCTTGTATTTCTGTAAGTTAGGTATGACAGACGTCAACGTTGGTTCGGATGAGAAACCGAAAGGTTATGTTTGTGTCTGTCTAAACGCGGCTTTGTGGAAGTAAATAGGTATTATAGTTTTGTTATCAGTTTATTTAGGCTGTACCGCATGGCTCAAGTAAGGGAAGATTGTGAGGAATACTGCAGTAGTGATTTTACGAGCGCGTGAGGTTGACACGACAGGCCACAGAACAAAATACTATTTACAAACTAGCTGACTCTACAGGCGAAAAGTGTATTCAGAAAATGTCAGACATGTGACATTTTGGGAGATCCACCTATTGTTAGGTCCAATTAACGTATGACCATCTTCCCGAACTTTAAAAGTCCAGTTCCCACCCTTGCCGAGCTAGGCTGGTATTATGGAGTTACATTTTGGCTGGACTAACGAGTCTATGCATAGTCCAATCAAAATTGCGCACCGAAATAGAAATCCTGTTCGTAAACTGTCGACTCGTCAGCAGATATTTTCCAAATCTTTTCATGTTTTTAATCATGGTGCTCACGTGATTTGATGCATTTCGCAACATAAGAACTGTTTTATCGCAATATAGATCTTGTTTATGGATCAGATCGTCCTGACTGGACGCCGCAATTGGGTTTGAAGCAAATGCAAGTGATACAAGAGATGGAATCTGATTGGTGAACAGGAGAGGCTTACAAGGGATATAACTAGTAATAGCCACTGGTGGCGCTGCGATCGAGCCCAGTAATTCCAGCCAAGTTCGGCAAGGGTGGAAACTGCACTCTTATAGTCAGTTAACTCTCTTGCCTCGAGAAGATGACGTCGTTATTGTTTTGTCCCGTTAACTTTCAAATTCTTCTCAGTTTCATGTCAGTTGTGTCAGAGATGTGGAAAATTCATCATATGGTAAAAGTACATTTCAACAAAAGTTAAACTAATATAATTTGTGGACATCACATTTTATGATAAATGGAGGCCTGTTTCTGTTGTAAATCTAGAGGTGATCATTACCAGGAGGCCATTGTATGTAGTACAGTGACCAGTGGCAATCTCAAGCAGCTAGCAAGAAAAAAGGAGATAGGACCACAAGAGGTATAGCAGGATTTGTTTGGTATCACTGGAAGCTTAGAATCACTGGTTTGCCAAGTCCAATGTTGCCAGAGATGGAAATGTGTATGCCTTTTGCTGTCATTTCCATGGTAATCATGCCATTTTGGAAAAAGACTTACAACTACCACCACATATAAATGGATAAATCTTCACTATTTATAGGTACTGTATCAATTTTGTGAATGATCTTTTGTTCCTAGTGCTGTTCTTTCAGTCCATGTAAAAAGACATGGTCAAAGTCACATCAATCTGCCTTGTAGCTATTCTTGCTTGATATGTAATGTTTAATCTGGCATCATTCTTAACTGCTGGGGTGAAACAGAAAATATTTAAGACCTGTGAGTAACTGGGGTAGAATAGGTCTTCGGCAACCAATGCATGCTGTAAAAGGCGACTATGCTTGTCATAAGAGGCGACAAAGAGATTCGGGTGGTCAGGCTTGCTGACATGATTGATGCATGTCATCGTATCCCAATTGTGTGGAACGATGCTCATGATGTCAGTCACTGGATTGTCTGGTCCAAACTCGGTTATTTAGAGACTGCCGTCATATAGCTGGAATATTACTGAGCTTGGCATTAAACAACAAACAAACAAATCTTAACGGCTGAGTACATCATAAGTACACCATGTGTATATGGTATTTTAAGACACTTCATAGAACATACTCTCTGAAAAAATAAATGTCATTATGGTAAATCATAAATGTTAGGACACATGCTATTAAGACACATGGCTTGTATTTCTTCACAATTGTGGTACATAAAATTGGTAAAAGGTCAAGGTCACATGTTAACAGGCACAATAATTATATACTTTAAAACTTCAAATTAACACTAGCATGAATTAAAGGCGAGAAATGTGATCGGTCTTTTTCGCATTAATGAAACTTTACACTTATGTCTCCAAAATGACTATCAACAATCTGTACACTTTGGATAGTGGAAATACCAACTTGAATATATACACAAACACGGTTGAGCAGCAGTTGTAACAAATACATACCAGTGTCAATCAATGAATAGGATTTACACAAAAAGGCATCTGGTGAATTATCACTGCTGGGGTCAAGAGTTCTACCCACTCATGTCAAACTAGGCATCATTGACCACTTCAAACAGTGAACTGTTGTTGGTTCAATTATTTTATTGCCTTTGAACTTCCTTAAAGCCAGTCAACAGAATAACATATATACTGTGTGTTGTTTTTATGAAAACACAGTTTATTGTTCGTAAGGAAGTGCTTTACTCAGTGCTAATAAGCAGTGCTATTTGCTGTTTGATTGGATTAAGGTAAGGATACGTATCATTCCACTGGGGATGGGGTGGGGGAGCCCCATTGATTTTGAGTCTCATTTTTGGCTAGGGGTCAGCAGTCATACTAATTTGGAGATGCATTAATTTCAAGATTTACAGTAATTAGTCAGGTGTTTAGCACAGAATGCCATTATAATTTGTAATCATGGTTATGTACACTTACTGGTTGTACTTTATGATCATTACAGACACATGCATCTATCGTTTCTTTATTCGTTATTTTATTGTTCAATGTTTACACATACTTTACAGATGTAATCATTACTTATTGTTATAAATGCACAGCCATGGTCAAGGTCAGTAAATGTTCATGGTTTATTAATAAAACGTCACCTCAGCAAAATGTCACCAAGCCAAAATGCCAGTAATTGCTGAAAACTGAAGCTTGACCAAAGTAAAAATGGCTACAATAGCATCGCAAAAACATCGCCTTATCTTATTTTTACTTTGGCTTTGAATAATAAACAATAAATGAAATTAAACTCACATCTCCCCATGCCACAAGTTTTCGAGCCTCACCTTTTGGGCCCCTAAACAATATGTAACCATGCTTTTAATGATGTATAATCAAGGTTGATGGTTCAAAGCCAACTGAACACATCAACTGTTCGTCACTGGCCGCTGAAGTTATTGTTACGATTTAAGCTACATGAGGTAAGATATTCACAAAGTAATGAAAATGTATCTCAAAACCTTTTCACTGATACACATTTTAATCAAACTTCATTTTTTTTAATGATAATTTTGCTTCAGAACAATCGTTGGCACTAATAATGCATTGGCTGCTGTTTGTAAACTTCCTGTGTGTGATGTCATGTGACTGGCCAAGTTGTGCATATATTTTTAACTGACTGTAATGGAGGGGCTCAAAATCATGTGATGGTAAAAATTTGTACTTTGATATCCTGACATAGCATCAAAATGTTGGATTGGTGATGATAAGACAAATACCACCAGTGTTTCAGAATAAACAGTGAATGAAGAGAAAGTCAAATGTTAAACCTCACACATTAAAACTAGAACAACTGCTGTAAAACATAATACTTGTTCATGTGAGCAACAAATGGCATGTGTCCTAACATTTACAGTTATTCTTTAGAATGTATATTCTATGAGGTTTTTGAGGTTACCAAATGTGTGGTGCTATTGTGCTCAGCATTTAAGAATGATACATGATAAAACATTGATTTTTAAGCAGAAGTGACTACAAATCTGCTTGATGTGACCTTGTTGTTTTTTAACATGGATTGAAAGAGCAGAGCAACACAAAAATTCACAAAATTAATGAAATATCTATTCACAATGAAAGTCTATCCATTTTATTTACTGGTAGCGCCCTTTCCAAAATAGCATGATTACCATGGAAACGCAACTAAAAGGACATGTTTCAAGTCTGGTTTTTGAAAAATTGATATTCTTAGTCTTACAATGATACCAAATTCATCTTTTTACTATACCTTCGGTAGACCATGTAGACCTGTTTCCATATTTTGACACCAGAAATTACTGGTCTACCAACTCATCAGTCCTCTCTCACACCATCAAAATTGAAATGAGACTATTCCAACACCACACATACACAAATTATAGTTTGAAGTTGATCAATATTGTCACAAACCCTGAACAGCCTAAAGTACTCACGGAAATGAAAAAAACCTGTTTTTTCGATCTCAGATTTTAAATAAATGCAGTTAATATACAAAATATATAAATATTCAAACAACTCAATTAGTACTAATTGGGCCTTGGCACAAATACAGCGTATCAAAGGTTTTTATGTCTTTTTACATGTAAAAGTGTGTAAAAATATGAACAAAACAGACTATTGTGAAACTGAGCATAACCAGGTGTTAGTAGATCAAGGTGAATGTCCATGACCTATGACACCTTGACGACAGGTGAAAACAGGTGCTTGAGACCCACATGCATGTGATTTGTCAGTGGTTAGTGATTTGTGAGTGGCATTGTTGGATAGTGAATCATCGTCAAAATATCAGAACGTAAAAGTAACATATTCCCTTCTCAAACAACAACTTACATGTCATTATTATTATGTACATAAACATAGCTGTTATTTTTATTGTTGTTTTGATAACTTTTTTCCAGGCTAATTTGCATAATGCCTATAGCCTGTTTCTGCCATGTCAATTTGGACTTAGTTTTATTTTTGAATGTTGAAAGTGCCTACAAATTACCTCTTGTAAAGTACATTTTGTATTGAGTACTGAGAAAAAACTAGCAAATCCAGACTAGTACTTTTCCAGTTGTTTTGTTATTTCGTATTTACATCTACGTAATGCTTTGTGTCGATTATTAAATCCAGCAAAACAGGTTTTTTTCATTTCCATGAGTACTTTAGTAACCTTTTAGAATGTTGAGTTTCATATTGCCTAACTTACATGTTTTGTAATACATTGTTTCAAATCAGTAAACAAATGTCTCCTTATGTAAAAACATCATAAGTTAATTCTGCCAGGTTAATGCAATAGTGATATTTTATTTCGTGTAGAAGTTGCACTGCTTAATCCATGTAAGCTGTTCCTTTAGTATTTGGATATGATAGATTTTTCATCATCTATTCACAGAAGCCTAAACAGTCAAGAACCTCTTCATGATGACTGACAGTTCAGCCACTAACAAAATTATCCAGCCTGCTGTAAGGGTTGACAATGAGACATCCGATACATTGGAAATGGATTCTGACAACAAGCAGGCAGTTCAGTCTTTGTTGGCCATGTCATCAGAAGCCATTGTTAGAGGTGTTCCATCAGAGACACAAAGGCATTTGTTTCAACAGATGAACCAGTCAGTGTTGACAAGTATTAGTCCAGTTGTTCAGCTTCCAGTAAATACAGAACAAATGAGACCAACTCATGTTCGAGACAATGCAACACATGAAGCAGTTCAGGTGACCCCATCCTGTGGTTTTGCCCCAGATCTACCAGACTCCAAAACATGTTTCATCAGTGACAATTCTGTATCAAGAGTCGAAACATCAGATGGAAATGGTGGACAACAAGACAATAATGCAGTTGATTCTGTTCCATGTGTGTCTTCCACAATTGTTGGGCCCTCCACTTCAGTCATAAAGCCAAGTGTCTGTGTTGATTCAACTGATGACTTGCTTGTTCCTCAAACACCTCCTACACTCAGAGGCAGTGCTTGTGTTTCATCTGCTGCAGTGAACCTTACAGAGTCTTCTATTAAACCCACTGATGATTCTTATGTTGAGAATTCAGTTACTACTGTTCGATCAAATGCAGAAACAGTACAAGAGAAGCAGCATGGTCAGCCTGTGTCAGTGACCTGCTGTTCTTTGGACCGTGGTTCATCTGCCGCTCCAGTACAATTGCAGAGTACAATAAATACAAGGGAACCTGGGATATATAAAGAAGAATGTGACAACAAGCAAGGATGGCAAACTGAAAGAGTAACTGATAAGTTTGAGTGTTCCTTTACAGAAAGTGATGACAGTGATTCAGACAGTGAACATTCAAAAATGAAGAAAAAAGATGATGGGTTCTTTCAGATAACATTTGATATGGATGATGATTCCATACTCTCAACAGAAAACAGTGAAGGCGGATCATTCCTCACTTGTTGTGTGTGTGGGAAGGAACTGCCTGAGACAACAGTAGCAGAAGCAGGTAAAGAAATGTGTAATACATGCAAACTTGTCAGATTTATGCCAGAGGAAACAAAAGCAAGAGGAAAGAGAGGAAGAAAGAAGATTTTCACACCATCAGAAAGTAAAGTAGTGGTTAAGTCACCTGTTAAGAGATGCCCAAAGAAAAGTACAGTGAAAGTGGAAAATGTTGACTCCATAGCCCCAGTCAGAAAGAGTACAAGAAAGCGGGTATCAACGATTGTTATGGAAGAAATAGCTGGTGACTCTGAAGAAGACAGTTCTCCCCCAGAAGATGAGACTGCCGTTGACAACAATGGAGAAGATGACTGCACAGAGATTAGAAATGTAAAGCCCCGCGAAAAGAAAAGCAAGACACAAGAGGAAATATCCAAGAGTAAATATGCTCAAGAGCTAAATTTGACTCCTACTGTGAAATCTGAAACAGATGGTACAGATGGTGTGAAAACGACTGAACAAGACATTTCTGATGAAGTGATGGCTCTTATCATAGCAGGTAATATGCCTCCGAGGAAAAAAGGTAGGCCCAAGGGTTCCAAAAATAAACCAAAACTCTTAAGAGCTGAGAAAGTGACAAAGAGGGATATGAAGTTCAACAAGAGATGGTACAGAGGACGTGGTCCAGTTCCAGATGCTAATCCAGATTCCGCAGATGGCCTCTGGGCATGTGAATTTTGTGGGAAGGCATTTCCTATTCGAAGGAATTTTCTTGCCCACAGGAGAAAGCATTCTGGAAGACATAAGTGTGATGAATGTGGTGACACTTTCGAGTGCAATAGTAAATTGCAGAGACACATAAGAAGACATCGTGGAGAAAAACCATTTGCTTGTCACTTATGTCCAAAAGCATATTCAGAAAACATGTGGCTTCAAAGACACCTTGCAACTCATCTATCTGAGGGTCATGCTCCACAGCCCAAACCCTATCAATGTAACATTTGTGGACGTCAGTATACACACAAAGGAACCATGATCTACCACGTGAAGACTCACACAGAAACAAAATTTTACCAGTGTGATGTTTGTGGGAAGCAGTTCACTCATAGGAGTTCTCTTGAATGTCACATTAAGACCCACACTGGGGAAAAACCTTATGTCTGCGAGGTTTGTGGCAAGCGGTTTGCTGACCGAAGTGTCCAGCTCAGACACACGCGATCACATTCTGGAGACAAACCATATAAATGCAGTGTGTGTGACAAGGGCTTTACACAAAGTGGAACTCTCAATATACACATGAGATTACACACATCAGAAAAACCATACAAATGCAAGATTTGTGGTATTGGTTTTCTGAAAAGATGTGATCTTAGCAAACACTCTAAATGTCATGTTGGTGAAATGTTATCAAAGAAAGCTAACTTGATAACATGTCGTGTTAATGAAGGTAGAGGTGCTGATATTCAAGAAAAAGCAGCCCAGATTCTTATAAATGCCTATGGTGAGAAGAGAGCAGATGGAACCATTGAGATAAAAACTAGACTTGAGCAGCCAGTAGGAACTGAACACTATGAACAAGAAGCCACTGCTGAGCAAGTGAATGCAGGACAGGTAGTGGATATGATGCAGACTGTGGGCATAACCTCTGGCGACACTCACCATCTTGAACAGCGTGTGATGGGTAGTCACCATCAGGTACTTGATCAAGACCAAGTGCAGCAACATTCAGAAGACATTCAGCGGCGTGCTTTAGAGTTTCTGGCCATGCGGAGACAAGAAATTGAGCAGCAGCAGGGGCTAGATAGAATACAGATCCTACATCCACCATTACACAGGTCCACTCTAGACCATGCCTCATTGGATAGACCAATCATGGATCATCACTCAGTAGAGATAGTCGCTGAACAGCAGGCTGTAGATAGGCACAGACAGATTGAGAGGCATGTTGATGAACACCCAGTTGAAAGGCAGCTGCTAGAGCAAGTTGAGGGGCAGGTTATTGGACAACCGCAGATGATAGAGGACCAACAAATAGAACAGCAAAGACTTGATCAAATGTCATCGCAGCAGCAGCAGCCCATCTGGATCTGCAAGTATAACTAGGTTCAATAGTGTGTCATTCATTACCTTTTGGAAAAGTGTCACCATGTCTGACCATCATCACATAGCCCATATTAAAGTGTCATTGAGCATTTACTAAAATGGGATTTGTGGGATGTCATCAACAGTACAGTCTGGTGATTTGTAAGGAGGAGGAGTGTGATAGTACATCTACTAAAGTCGTGTTATCACGTTGGTAAACTGAATATGTGTCATAGTGGACCAAATCAGCAAATATGACTCTCTGAAACATCATAACCTCACCTTGACACTGGTACAAGCTTACCATACAGTTGAAGAAAACTTACATGTATCATGTGTATATGATGATAAAAAGGAAATATTTACTCATTATAGTCTGGTGAAATAGCCTGCAATAGATATAACTGTTGCTGTCTGTTTTTATCAATATTAAAAGTGCTAGCCATTCGGGATATTAAGATACAGGTGTCACATAAAACAATACATATCTCCATACAGAAGCCATGATACAATACAGTTCTTGATACTGCATATACAACATTTTGTAAGGAAAACACAGTCATTAGACTGAGAATAGATTTCATAGACTCGGTCCTAAAGGTAAAGAAGGACAACTGACATCTGACTGGTACCCATTGACAGGACACCGAGTCAAGTCAACTATTCTGTATGAGAAAATAATAAGAAATTAACAAGTTTACGTACTGTATTAGGACAGACAGCAAGGAAAAGCTGGTCAGTCTTTTTGTTGGGCCTGGTTCACATCCGAAAGACGACCAAAAAAGTTATAAGGATTACAAAAATAGTTTGTACTCGCTGAATGATATTGATGTGAGATCAACATAGACAATCAATATAGGGTTAAATGTGAATTGATGCCAAATTAAATGTATCTGGTATCATAGTTTGCAGATGTTGCACTGATGTACCGGGAATCGCAACATCACTACGACTCATATATGTTTTGGAACCTGAAGTACAGGGTCATGCTATGGCCTCACTGTTTTAACTTTGATAATGGCTGAGCCATAATTGCTACTGTTTAGATATATATACATCCGGAAATAGGTTAAGCCCAAGCCCTTTTGTATTTTCAAGTTTTGAAATTCTGAGGACCTTTGGAAATATCTACACATGATATTTACTTCATTTCATTAATGTCAAAAGTACAACTGATGCCTGCTGAAATGTTGGCACAAGAACACTCTGTGGTCGCAAATACTGAGTCACATCACATAATATAAGGAAGCAGAGCAAGCCATGGATAGGAGTTGTAGATAACAAAATGTTTACTTTATATTCTAATATAAAGTAAGCAGTGATTAACTTTTGCCAGGTGTGTGATGTGTGAGTGTGTATAGATACCTGGTAATCTGCTCCTGTGCTTCAGTATACAAACACCACACAGTATTTTCTTAATGATAGTAATTGGTGATAATTAGCGGTGTTGTGAGAAGCAGGACTGATTTAAGGTTTTTGTTACAATTTAACCAAGGCTGATGTTTATGTTCAACTAAACAAATATTTTTGATATCAGAGATTGTTCTTCCATCATTAAACTGTGTACACTTTTAGAAAAGGACCCAGTTTGGTCAATATTAACAAAAGGTCAAGGTCTGTGTTCAGTTTTTTGTGAAACATAGTTATACTATGGTCAATCTTTTCTTTCGTGTAACTGAAGAAATCTTACCACATTATATTTCAGTTGCATTTTCCTGTATGTCAAAGGTCAAGGTAATTTTGAAAAGAAGTTGTATTATCAGAATATACAATACTTTGGAGATGATGCAAAATGCAGATGGAGGTAATTGACTTTAGAGGGTATCCTACAATGCAATTAGTCCACATGGCCTCAGAGAATTTTTATGGCACATGCAATGAAAGGTCAAGGTCATGAGAAAGAAATACCTCACTAAACTAAAATATTACAATTTCTCTTAAACACTTTAAGAATTATACCTTTTATGATTATACTCAGTATTTAACTACTTTTTCTTTAGTCAAAATAAGTCAAAGGTCTAGGTCAGCCTCGAGGTTGCCAAATGGGTATCATGTTGTCAATTTTGTCAGACTTAGTGTGACTTTTAGCAAGCACTGGTACAGTGGGGCAAGCCATGATAGGGTATAAAACATACAGAATTTGTTAGTCCAGTCTAAATCTGTACAGTTTGAAATGCTTGGTATCATAATACATCTATGCACTGCTGATAGTGAGATATCTGTGATGCCCAACAACCTAGACATGTAAAAACTTATCTGTGTTAATAAGACATATTTCTATCCTAAATGTGATATCCAAATCATATTATGGAGTGTTACTGTTAGAAGTATAAAGCTCTAGCATACTGTGTCTTGTGTACATATGTATTGAAATACTGTATTGGGTGTGTTGCTTTGGTTTTTTTATCAAGGATATTGATTGACAAAGGTAGACAAATGATGTTTCTAAAGAAATGAGTTTGTGAACAAATATAAGTTTGAGTTACATAATAGAATATTCCTAGTCTAGCTGGCAAAACATTGTGCAGAGTTTTATGCCTCATATACATGAAACCACATTATTATTACTCACTCACTCACTCACTCACTCACTCACTCACTCACTCACTCACTCACAATGGCATGTAAAGTTTATATTAGTGACAGGTAAATCATATATTTTATTAATGCTACGTTCCAAGAAAATATTTATTTTCTAAGAGAAATGCTTTAGTCCCATTGATTGTGCACATGCCAGTTGAGTTGTTCAAGGCTGTTAAATGATTTCATGTGGTAGGTCATGGATGGTGAGAGCAGTGTGGTAAATGTCTTGTGACTGTTGTTTAGTATGGTTTTGGTCTCTCTGTCTGACAGAAATGAAAATGTTTGTGTTAACATTGTCAAATTGTAGAGCTGCATTTTCTATCTTCAGCTGTACTTTTATGTTATCTTGTAAAATATATTACACTAGACTCTTCAGCTGAGATATATATGGCAGAGAGTGTTGTACAATGTATACATTGGACCAAATACTTCCACATCTAGGTTGTAAATACATGTAATGGACAAACTGACATCTCTTTGGAATCGATACTGTAATACCTATTACTGTGATTAGATATTAGGTATACCTACGACTGTGATTAGTTATGTACCGACTTGCTTCCATTGGAGGTCAATTTAATAGTGCTTTGTTATTGTATGCTTGCCTAAAAAGCGACTGCTTGTCGTAAAAGGCGATCCCATATTGGGTGGTCATGGATCGGGTGGTCAGGCTCGCAGACTTGGTTGATGCATGTCATTGTATCCAAACTGTGTGGATCGATGATGATGATGTCAATCACTGGATTGTCTGGTCCAGACTCGATTGTTTAGAGACCGCCGTCATATAGCTTGAATATTGCTGAGTGCAGCATAAAACAACAAACAAAAATTTAAACCATCAAGAAGAAAGAAAGGTTTTATGCTGTCAGTTTCATTTGTAATGTAGATAGCATGCACATCCCATAAGAAGGCATCAAAGCAACAGCTTGGATATTTTTCAGGCACAAATACAAGCACATATGTGTGTGCAAGCATCATTATTACTGGCAAGTACAGTACATGTAGTTCATACATACGATCAGATGAATTTTGGTACTCCGTCCTTCAGGGTATGTCTCACTTGTGGAGCAGCAGGTATAATCACAGTGGAACTAATATTTCAGTTGTGATCTGAGTATTCACACTTGGGTGAGATATCCATGTGGACACTTTAAGAATGAAGTCTTTATTTGTGCCTCAGTATCACAAAGACATCAGGACGCACTGACTGTCATGTCAACAATGTATGCTCTCTTGACAACCCTTTAGTATATTACATTGTATTTGTGACTCTACTGACTTCACATGCTTTAAACCCTTAAGAATGTAGTTTCTGTGAGGCAGTCTGTGCAAGGAATCTGACATGCTATTTGTTACCATTGTTACAGGCTTTAGTTGAACCTGCAGAATAAAATGACCTGGTGTGGACGCAAGTGATTGATACAATAAAGTCACATAATAATGGTAACACATTTCTTGTTATTTCTAGTGCTATAGTGCAGTTTTATGTCAAGACTGCCTCCGTGGTCTAGTGGTAGAGCGGGATTGGATCCCCGGCCGTGTCATACTTTAAAAGATGGTACTTGTTACCCTGTCGGCGCTCGGCATTTAGGGGCTAAAAGAAGAACTGGTCGGCTCGGAGTTCGTATACTGTGTCTAAGTGGAGTATTCATGTTAAACTGCAGCATGTAAGTGCAATAATAACGCAACGTTAAAGCCCTTTTCACCTCACCTGTAGTATATCAAGACTCATGAACGCTGTTTCCAACTCTGTGAAATTATGCATTGTGTGAAATTAGACTTATGTGTGCCACCAGCTTATCCTGGGAACACATTGAACCATGGAAATATCCTACTTAAAGACGGATGGTAGTTCTCCAGTTAAGCATTCTTTGTTCTTTTCTACTATTTTATAAATGTAGACCCATTGATTTTAAATGTTTGAAGACTGACACTTGCCATATTAATAACAGAACTTTCAAGCATCAAATACTGATACACATTTCTTCTGTTATTTCACAATGTTGCACAACATTGTTGAATGATTATAATTAGTCCATGAGCCAGAGAAAATTTGACTACCAAACAGAGGGACAAATTACCAACATGATTTTCAGCTAGCTTGATGTCTCAACTGTATAATTTCATGTGATGGACATTTCAGATGCCCAGCTAAATACGATTTCGGTGGCCATTTTCCAAGATGGCGGCCATTTTTTCACTTTTTCTACAAATTTCAGAAACAAGCTTATAACACAGAATTTATTAATTTCAGACAACTTTTATTTACTGATATTGTTTTAGCACTACATTGCACACATTCTGTTATGCTTTTTGTATATCATTGAGTTACAGTTTTTGAGTTAATGTTGAAATTATATAAAGAAATTACCCTTTTTTAACATTTTACTGACATCTTTTCTTTCCAATGCAACGTTGTTGAGTAATAATTCACACCTTATGGTAGATAAAAATTGTTTAATGTATTTTCATATATAAAATACCATTTGGAAGTTAAAACACGATAGTGCATAAACATAAGCAGCCATTTTTCAATATAGTCCACTTTTTCACAGATAATTCAAAAATTTAGAAAAGCGTACATATTGCAACCAAAACTTGTTTTTATATTTCCTAGCTAAATTTCCAAGAACCTAAAGTGTTTAAAGTTAAAATGTACACATTGTGATATTACATTTATATGTGTTTAATAATAACATCAAAAGTATACATATAAACACATATAACTTGTTCATAATTCAAAAGCCACCACAGTCCTTCTACTTCACAAATCTTCTACTTCTTAAAAATCAGCATGTAGTAATATCAACTCACCATTTTAAACAGGAGACTGTTTGCTAGAGTTTCATGCCGTTGACATTAACATTGTAACACAATTTAGAATGAATATGGCCAGTACTTGTAACAGCTTCAAGAAAATGTCTATAAATAATAGACATTTCAACAATGAGGATGTCTTTTTCCGTCCCAAAACCTGCTATGTGATACACATCCAACTGTCAAATTCAGTTATCTTCATCGCTTGAGTCTTCTGCATCTTGATGTATCTCTTCATCATTGTCATCCATGTTGGAGCAGGGTGACAACTTGCAGGCAGAGGTACATTTAAGACCATTTAATATACATGTGCACTCACGTGGTCGACAAGTGCGAGAACATCTGCATGACATCAAACCAAGGACCACTTCTGGAGCTGGCAAGCCCGTCATCCATTTGATTGCCAGATTTCCTGTCTCGTTTATTTCCAAACCATGGCCTGCAGAGGGATCTGGTAAATCTGGAGAATTTTCAAGGCTCCTCCTCCAAACCGCTGACTGGTAATTGACATGGAGGGTATGCTGGAAAAGCGCATCTTTACATGGTGGGAGCTGTCCAGATTCAACATCCCCGCCTCTACCTCGAAATGTCTGGTAACGCAGCTCATTGACCTTGTTTACCGTTGTGTTGCTACAATATAGCTGACAGGTAAAGGATTGGATTATCTTAAACACTTCAGGAGAAAGATGCCACTCAGTACCAAGATCTCCAAAAGCCTTTCTGAAAGTTTCATCTCTTAGAAGCAGTTTTAGAGCCCTCAGCTTGCCGTGACCAGCCAATGCACTCAGAGAGTCACATCCAGTCCATGCATGTAGCCCCAATAAAGCGGCGCAAGCTTCACTTCCTAAAGCTTCAGCAAGTTTTGTTATGTCCACAAGCCTCAAACGAGCTTTTGTACCTCGTCTGATAATGATTCTGCTGTTGATCTTTGTGCTGAGAGCAAGACAGATAACTAGCACATCTGTGTCATCTGTGACAAGGACCAGGTCTTGATATTCTTCTGAGGCATGATTAGCATGCAACAGTAAACGAGTATCAGCTTCTTCGTGGAATGACTCCAGGCGTGTTACATTTTGCCATCCCTCACTCGTTAACTGAATGCACATACTTCCGTGTGTAACAAACATAGTTTTGTTACCGAGCTGTTCACGTCGCCTTAGCTCTTTCCAACTCTGTGCCAGAAATCTAGTGAGGTTGTTCTTACTCTCGGTACATGCAAGAAGTCGTCTCCAGTTTTTCAGTTTGTGTCCTTCTCTTATCTGCGTGAAGATAATGCCTTCAGTTGAACCCCGATTCAGACGCTCAGCTGACTTTATTGACTGTTCCCTGTACACGTCAAACACCACATCAAATCTGTTACATCCCTGACCAGCATGCAACATCTGGGCAAACACTTGATCAGACAGCTCATCAAATGTGTGATTTTCGCCGTGGATTTTCTGAATGATGGCCATAGCATCAAGAAGAGCAGCACTTTGGGTGGGGGTACCATCTGCAAACGACACTTTAGTCTCCAAGTGTTTTGCCAGAGCAGATTTATTTGTCTTTTTCATTGTGCCGTCACCATTTGCAAGAGACCAGGGTAGTGGACCAAGAGGGTGGCTCAGCACATCACGCATGTCTAACCTTCTGTTCTGGGCAATGAGAACCATATTTGCAAACACTCTTCTGTCAGCTTTTAGGATGATTTCTGTGTTTGTACACTTGCTTGTTTTCTTGTTAGATCACTGATGTCCTACAAGTAATCTCTGGCTAGGTAACAATTAGGTAAGTTTGTGTACGCATATCAAGAGTTATTATTTGGAAGTGTACACCAAAGGTTCGTTTGATAATTGGTCATGTAACCACACGTCACGATATCGGTCACAGTTTCAGGGGGACAAGTATATCAGTCCGAAAGATTGGTAACTTTGTTTATAGATATAAAATATTATTCAGTAATCGATTCAGAATCTCAAAGCAAAATATGATAAAAGAAAGAAGGCATAGGATTATCTACCAAACACAACAACTGTATTCATTGTTCTAATCTATTCTCCCTTCGTTCGTACAACCTCCTCTGGCACCCCAAGGCCCACAAAACAGACTTGTAGGTGATCCATGCTATGGTACTATACCTAAGGCAAGTACTATGCCTAAGTGTGAACCTGGTTTAGAACCAGTGTCAACACTTTATTGATTTTCGAAAAAGGCGAATATAATTTATCATGTGGTCAGGCAACCCGTGCAATACGGGGTGTTGCTCATAATATTAACCACAGGTTAATTGGAACCGTTTTTTATTTTACTTCTCAACACATTTTCAGGACATGTCTAGCAACAACAAAAACTCTAAATACATTTTTTCCAGTTTCTCCTATAGTTCTCTCGTCGCTATAGATGATTGTCTTAATAAAAGGTTGACATGTCATTGTACTATTTCTTCATAATTCAGGTGAACTACAGACCCGCGTGGCTCTTTTTGTCTTGTGTTATTGTGTATTAGCTTGACGTTATGAATAGTTACTTCTTTGACTAGAAAGTCATGTCTGAAGTAGACATACAGCAGAAACAGCAAAAGCGCCCCAATGTCCGTATGCCTTCTCATCGGAGATAATCGGTGACGACCTGGGCACGGTGTGGTCTGGCATTGTCATCTTGAAGTTCAAGATCTCTGCCCATAATTCTGAATGGATCAATGCCAGGACGCAAAATGTGGTCAACATATCGCTGGGAGGTCAAATTTCCATTTACAATAACCATATCTGTTCGTCTGTCATGTATGATACCGCCCCACAAAATGACACTACCGCCTCCAAAACCGATCATGGTCAAGAATGGTTTCCCTGGCATACCGCTCGCAGCTACGTCGCCAACAACGTGCCATCTGTGAATATGAGACAAGACTTTGTGTAACGCCATTGGCGCACAGCGCGTCCCTTGTGTTGCCTAGCTCCCACTAATCTCACCTATAGTAAGATTTTAGGGTCAAAACCAACACAGGGTGCCTTACCTTCAGGCGGGTTGCATACAGCCGATCTTAAGGGTATATGTTGAAATTCGCCTTTCTGTTATTGTTATTGTAATCTTTTCCCTAGTGCAATTAATGTAGTGATACGATCTCGGGTCGTCTTTTAGGCCTGCGACGCCCAGGTATCATTGCAACGCCACCCGTTTGACGGTTCTTGTCCTACAGTCGAGAAATTGCACTTTTTGATTTGCCAAACATTCGGGCAAATTGGGATATTAATGTTGCGATCTATGTTTATAAAACACGCCAACATTGATATATACTCATCAAAACATGAGGCGGACTACACCATGAAAAATGGAATGCCACGTGAACTGAAATTGACAGTTATGAATATATTCATTGCACAAGGGTTGCAGTCCACTGTCATTATCGTAACACGAGGGTAAAAAATTGGCAAAATATTCTTTTCACAGTTCAACCCAGTACTCGATAAACTTCAGCTATGGCGCAAGCATGGAGCTTGATAGCGGGAAGTGACATTTAGGTTGTCCGTTGAACTTATCTGTTAGAGTTTGAGTCTGTATGCTAAGCTGGTGTATGTCAAATAGATACGATCACAACACCTGTTTTCGTTCCTCTGGCACAAGTTGGTCAGAACTGCATCTGTACTCAAAGCCATTAAAAACGCAATTGCTTTAGATAAGCGCACTTTTAAAAAGAGCAATCGCCCAAAACGTTTTCAAACATCATGATAGTGCTGTGAGGTATATGTGTCCCCTGTGACAGTTCGGGTTCGAACCTCAGACCATCTTGGAGCAATGCGTCTGAAAGTGAAAAACGCAACTGTGAACACTGCACAGAAACACAACCACTGTTGCTGGCCATATACTACACCTCGCGAAGACCGTCACATCCGTCAGCACCCAAACCGTCAGAAGGCGTTTGGCTGCGTTTGGCATACGGTGCCTTTTACCTTATCAAGGCCAGATCCTGTTACACCGACAAAGACGCGCCAGACAGCGGTGGGCAGCTAATGGGTGCTTCCCACAAAATACATCATTGGAAAATGTCGTCGTCTGTGACGAGTCCCGTAACACACTCAGTTTTCCGAATGAACGTCGCCGTATCTATCGACGAAGGGGAGAACGCTTCGCTGACATCTGTGTTTTAGAAAGGTGTCGCTTTTGAGGAGGCGGTGTAATGGTATGGGGTGCCATCAATGCTCGTTTCCGGTCACAGTTGGTGGTTATCCAAAGCAGCCTCAATGCTCGAGGTTACGTGAACAATATCCTTCGTCCAGCACTATTGCTATTACTGGCTCAACATGGCGCCCGACATCAGCTTCGGGCATGACAATCCACGTCCACACGCTGCAAGGTTCACGGGTGACTTTCTGACGAGGAACAACATCCGTGTGATCAACTGACCTGCCATGTCACCTGATATGAATCCAATTGAACACTTGTGGGACGAGCTTGGACGGAGTGTTCGAACTCAACAGCAAACACCTCAGACAATAGCGGAGATTACAGTCCCTACAACATGAATGGCAGAACATTCCACAACGTTTCCTGGGGCGCCTGTGTCAGTCCATGCTGGCTACTACAGGCAAGCGTCAGAGCACAAGGTGGACATTCCTTCTACTGATACTCGGTGATACCCCCCTTTTTTTTCGAGCCTCTGTGATGTCATCCAAAGGCGTGTATCTTACGGACCTTTATGGTTAACATTCCACGTGATGGTTATATTTGTCATTATTGTTGGTTTCATTTGGTTTTCTTTCACTGTAATAAAATACACACCATCTGAACATTGAATTGCGTTTTCAACGGCTTTAAGTATACATGGACTCCCTTCCCCATCGAGTCCTTCCTGCTAACCCGTATCAAGTGTCATATCACACATGTTGTGTGTGAAATATCCCCCAAATCTTGTTTAACATGCATGGAACATCTTAGGGAGATGGTGTTATGGTCCGCCCCAGATCAACACAAACAGCTCTTAAACGTAAAATTGCAGAATATTCCAAAACAGCAACTTGACTCATCAAGTCAATGCCACTATTCTTCCCAGCTTGCAGTCGCGACAACTATAATGCTAAGCCTACGCGATACTGAATATGTATTGCTATAACACTATCTAATGTAGTGTATCGACTACGTTTTAATTAGTATGTGTTCGGGCGCTCCTCAAGCTTTTATTCTATTGTACAGTTTTTCTGTCACTTTAATGTGACCGAGTGCACTTTTTTAAGTTTCTTGTCTCATCTGAGCGGTGCAAGTTATCAACGAAAAGGAGTATACAAATCATAGTTATTCCATTTCAAATTCATGTGCCACAGTAATATTACTGTGACAAGGTTTGAACTGTTTGCAAGTACAGCTCCAGAGAATAAAACGTGATATAATAACAATCTCCATTAATATAATTGAATACAGACGAATACTCAATTATTATGATGTTTGCATAACAGCCAATGTTGCATCAATAACAAATTGCTGAATCCTGATGCAAGTTTCTTAGTTACTGAACCTAAATATGCATGTGCATGGAAACGACATTGCTTTGCTACTGCCGTACGCATGCTAGATCAGCATGGCTGTAATCTAAGTTGTTTGAAATACCATTCACATTAAACTGATATGCAGAGTAATGTAAAGATTAAAAAGTTGTCTTTGAATAGATATTGTAACTTATGTTTCGTATCCAAACAATGACATTTAATGTTTTACTTGAGCGAAATGAAGTCCAATGATGAAAATCAACTTCGTTGACCTTGGAAGTGCACTTGTACAAGCCTAGCCTGTTTCCGAGGACTGAACACTGGGTCTGGTCTATGCTGTATACCGTGCCACTCTGCATATTTCCACAGAACAAGACTTCTCAGGTCTAGATATTTGACATATCAGGGACAAAACATAAGAATATATACAAATGAATGGTGTTCACTTGAACATTTTTCAGTTCAGAGAGTTTCATTCTGATGGAGCAGAATTTACAAAGGTTCTCTACAATGGTAATCTTAATACACTGTAATAACATATAATAAACATATTTATTATAGCAGTAAATAGTAATACATCTTTATTATTGCATAGATTACAGAACTGGTATTTTCTTCCATCGTCTAGTATATATTCACATTTAAACAGACATGTTATTGCTTTTAGAGTTTGATGTCAAGTATTGCTGGTTATTATCATTTAATTGACAAGCATTTGTATTTCTAACCCAGGAAGATGAGTCATCCATAGAAAGATTTATCCGGTTTCATAGATAAATCTACGGATGAAAGCCTTTCACAGGTTTTGTCACACGTTGTTGAAACTTTGATTCAGACACACGTGCATGGAATAGGGTAGTTTAAACGATTCCACAGATTAATTTAGATCCTAATACGATATGTGTTTTGACTTAAACCGATTGTCCTAACACAAACGTGGAGTGCTTTTCTTCAGTGGTCATAATTTTCTAATGTGTGTATGTATGTTTCAATTTGACGACTTATTAGGTTGGATAGCAACGGGATTAAGACCTTTGACCGTTGAAAACAGCAAACGGTTGAATAAATGACAAATAAACCATTCCAGCCGACCAGGAGCCATTCTTCGTTGACATCCTGGTTGACTGGCGGGATATGCTGGGTGAAATATGTGGAGCATGCGTCGTCAAGGGACAGTCTGAGACTAACGATTCAGTGTTTCTTCATTGTAGCAGTGCAGTCATGCTCACCGCCAGGAGAACCAGGGCAGCGGTGATTGTACTGGAGGCGTGAACGAGCGACATCCGTTGTGGTACCGGCGTCGTAGTCCTGTGGAAGAACTTGCAACATTACATCCAGTGTGTATGTGTTAAAACTGACTTATATAAACCACTGAATAGGGTTGTTTGATAAAGCGGAGTCGTTCAAAGGGGTTACGTATAAGGCTCAATGGAGTAGAATTTTGATGTTGCAACTATTATATTCCTTTAAACGGGTAGATGGAACAATATACCATCATGACAACGCATCTGATATGTTTGTGAGATGAATTACATCATGTTTCCAGTATTGGAAAACAGACAGTCACACATATCTATCACCTTACTATTACAGAGTTCACGTAAGCTGTAATTGTGTCACGCATCACACTCAGCTCTAACCACGTTACATACAGAGTGGGTTTACCAGCGTGTGGTGTGTGAGAGCATCTAGCCTGACTAGTATCACACTCAGCTCTTACCACGTTACATACTGAGTGGGTTTACCAGCGTGTGTTGTGTGAGAGCATATAGCCTGACTAGTATCACACTCAGCTCTAACCACGTTACATACTGAGTGGGTTTACCAGCGTGTGTTGTGTGAGAGCATCTAGCCTGACTAGTATCACACTCAGCTCTAGCCACGCTACGTACTGACTGGATTTCCTGGCATTTATTGTTTGGGAGCATCTAGCCTGACTAGTATCATACTCAGCTCTGGCCTCTGAGTAATTGAACATGGAATATAGCACATGAATGCGTCTTATGTAACTGCCACATTGAAATAGTGAAGACAAAACTGAAGTCAGTACACCTTACATACTAACCTCGCGAACATATATAAAATATGTTAGCATTTTAATATTGACATATCTTTTTGCGCTAAATAGGTGATACATTATTGCAAACATATATATATATATATATATATATATATATATATATATATATATATATATATATATATATTTATATATATATAATTTACGTGAAGGGGTTTGGGTGTACTAAACGTTTCTTTTTGCTATCCCCTATAAACCCATAAGGTATAACCTACACGGTAACAGGTTGGATTTGTCCCACATTCTTGGTCATGACGGTATTTCTGCAGCAGAGACGGATCACAGGATCCAGTTCAGTTTCATATAGGGCGTTGTACTGTAGCATAGATGTCACGCAGTGTCCAACAACCCCATTCTGGAAGTAAGATGGACCATTAACATACAAACGTTACAGCTATGTGAACTACTGTTTATTTGCAATAAACATCAAACTGGTTCACTGTGTACTATGTCAACCATTCTGTCTGACAGACTCCAGTGATCAACCTCAAACCAAGTATAGAAGCTAAATTGCATTTAAAGAAGAGCAAAGGTTTTAAATTCTGACATTCTGTATATTGTATACCTTTCATGTCATTAATCACAGTCAGGTATAGTTCTGCAGCACGGCCAACTGTGAAACTTGAATGTACTTGGTCAGGAACCGTTCAAAGCTGTACTTATAGCTATGTTTAAATAGTATAGCATGAAGTATTTTCCAAAATATTGTAACAATGACACGGATATCGAGCAATGATAAAACTGAACGACTTCATAAACGAGTGAGTGAGTTTTATTTTACGCCGTTTTGGCAATATTCAAGCAATTTCGCGGCGGGGAACATCAGAAATGGGCTTTACACATTGAACACATGTCGGGAATCGAACCCAGGTGTACGACGTGACGAGTGAACGCTTTAACCACTAGGCTACCCGACCGCCCCTTCATAAACGATGCATTTCCCCAAATTCCAAATACACGGAAGTGTGCTTACTGAATCCGTGACTTTCTGTGCTGCACAGGTAGAACTAGCGGCAATGCCGAGCTCCAGGAATGTCCCACCCCAGTCTGCGGGAGTGTCAGCAGGGATGGTCGTACTAAAATCACAACGTCCTCGCTTGCCAATGAGGAAGACAAGTGCGTTAGATGCTCCCGGGACATTGATGTTGGTAATTAGTTTTCCAGGAAGAGAACAGACGACCTGTACTGTGGACAAATCCAATAAGTACTTTTGATTAGCAACTAATGAAAAAAGTCCTTTCAACCAGACTTCAGTTACATGTCAATTTCTGCAGATGTTATTCACAAATTCAACTTTTAATACGGCTAATTGTACCTGCAGAAGATATTCACAACCCACAGCACTTTATACGTCTAATTATACCTGCACATGCTATTCACAAATATAGCTCTTGATACAGCTAATGATACCTGCAGATGCTTATGTTTAATCTGAGCAGCAACAGGCCACAAAAGCTTTCATTGGGGAGATCTGTGGAGTATTTTGTTCCAAATTGAACTGCGATCTGGGGGAGGAACACGTTGGGAATTGACCAAGTCCTGGGTTGATGTGACGTCCATCAATTTGACCAGCTCGAATCCGGGTCTTGTTGGCACAAGTTGCAACCACAAGAGCAATACTTCCTTGATTAGCAAATCATGGAATACTTGAATAGCTACGCAAAATGTAGGTTACTTACGCGTTCTGAACTGACATTTGTTTCCGTAGTGTGTTGGTGGGCAGAAGCAATCACCGTTCGTCTTACAGAAGAATCCCTTGGCAGCCTCGTGACACCCACAGCTTCTCTGATCCGCAGCATTGGTAGCGTTGTCTGGAGGTGGCATACAGTTGGACATACAGCCACAATAACAGCAGCATCAGTGGAGATGACATACAGTTGGACATACAGACAAAGAAACACAGCAGCATGAGTGGAGGCGACATACAGTTGAACATGCAGACACACAGACACAGCAGCATGAGTGGAGGTGACATACATTTGGACATACAGACTCATAAACAGCAGCATCAGTGGAGGCGACATACAGCTGAACATGCAGACACACAGACACAGCAGCATCAGTGGAGGTGACATACAATTGGACATACAGACACACTAACAGCAGCATCAGTGGAGGCGACATACAGCTGAACATGCAGACACACAGACACAGCAGCATCAGTGGAGGTGACATACAGTTCGACATACATACACATAAACAGCAGTATCAGTGGAGGGGACATACAGTTCGACATACAGACACATAAAAAGCAGCACCAGTGGAGGTGACATATAGTTGGACATACAGACACATAAACAGCAGCATCAATGGAGGCGACATACAGCTGAACATGCAGACACACTGACACAGCAGCATCAGTGGGGGTGACATACTGTTGAACATACAGACACACAGACACAGCAGCATCACTGGGGTTCCTGGAGGTGACATACATTCGGACATACAGACACAGAAACACAGCAACATCAGTGGAGTTCTTGAAGGTGGATACAGTTGAACATGCAGACACACAGACAGCAGCTTCAGTGGAGGTGACATACATTTGGACATACAGACACATAAACATAGCAGCATCAGTGCAGGCAACATACAGTGGAACATGCAGAGACACAGACACAGCAGCATCAGTGAGGGTGACATGCAGTTGGACATACATACACACAGACACAGCAGCATCACTGGAGGTGACATACAGTTGGACATACAGACACATAAACAGCAGCATCAGTGGAGGCGACATACAGCTGAACATGCAGACACACAGACACATCAGGATGAGTGGAAGTGACAAACAGTTGGACATACAGACACATAAACAGCAGCATCATTGGGGTTCCTGAAGGTGACATACAGTTGAACATGGAGACACACAGACACAGCAGCATCAGTGGAGGTGAGATACATTTGGACATACAGACACATAAACACAGCAGCATCAGTGGTGTTCCAGGAGGTGACACACAGTTGAACATGGAGACACACAGACACAGCAGCATCAGTGGAGGTGACATACATTTGGACATACAGATACATAAACACAGCAGCATCAGTGGTGTTCCTGGAGGTGACATACAGTTAGACATGCAGACACATAAACACAGCGGCATCAGTGGAGGTGACATACATTTGGACATACAGACACATAACCATAGCAGCATCAGTGCAGGCAACATACAGTTGAACATGCAGACACACAGACACATAAACAGCATCAGTGGAGGTGACATACATTTGGACATACAGACACATAAACAGCCGCATCAGTGGAGGGGACATACAGTTGAACATGCAGACACACAGACACAGCAGCATCAGTGGAGGTGACATACAGTTGGACATACAGACACATAAGCATAGCAGCATGGGTGCAGACGACATACAGTTGAACATACAGACACGGCAGCATCAGAGGAGGTGACATTTGGACATACAGACACATAAACAGCAGCATCAGTGGAGGTGACATGCAGTTTGACATACAGACACACAGACACAGCAGCATCAGTGGAGGTGACATACATTTGGACATACAGACACTTTAACACAGCAGCATCATGTGTCTTGTTTAATTATCATTTAGCTGATGAAGTATCATCCTTATTATCTCGAACCAGCCATCTCGACGCTGTGTCTCTCGTGAAGCTAACCATTCGGTAAAGAGATGTGTCTGTCCTCTCCACATCCTGGGCATTTTCCGTCACTGTATCTTATCCTATTTATTGTGCAACCAGACATACACATCATATCAGTACAGGTATTTTGTGCTGTGTACCAGTCAGTTGCCTTATTCTATGGAAGTACCCAATGATAGCTTGACGACATGAGCCCAACAACTTCGAGACGCGTATTCCCTGGTTATCGATGCATTTTTAAAAGCCAGTCGTCGAATTCAATTTTACGATTCATCTTGATACATTTTGTATCCTGATACTGGTATCGGCCACAGTCAAGATAAATCAAGACAGTACCAACCACTTCGACATATCTCTATTCATTATAAACTGGGGGCACGGGTGGCCAAGTCGTCTAAGGCGCCGCAATTCGCTGTGCAGAGTTGCGACCCTTGGGCACGCCAGAAACCTAAGATTGTGGGTTCGAATCCCGGTTCACCCCGATTATGTTTCTAGATTTCTCAGCACCATACCCGTGCTCGTGGGTTTCACCGAAGTAGTAAACGTCTAAGACCTGCGTCACTTCGGGCTTTCCTCCAACATTAAGCTGATACTGTTAAAAGCAGCATTAAACCCAACTCACTCACTCATTATAAACATCAGTGTGAAAGACCGAGTTTTCTGAAGTTGTGAAAAGTGATATTTTCATTGTAGTGAACATAGCACTTGATATGTCACTGCAGTGAACATAACACTTTGCCGGAGCTATTGTTATACAAGAGTTACCTCCCTGCAAATTGTCTCCCTTTATCGTAAGTGTCTGGCCCGTACTCAAACTGTTAACTTCCTTTTTACGTTAGTTCCACGTTGACAAGGCAAAATAATGACAAATAGTCATTTATGGTTTAAATATCGCTTGTTGTCGTTTGTTCTTCTCTTGAAACTGTTTCCTCATAAACTGCAAATTTCGCATTTAACTCGTCAATCGAGACTATTCGTTTCGCAAAGCGTCATTTTTGTTACTTAACCAGCGTGTATCCCTTCGAAGCTATCGAAGCTATCAAGACAAAAAAATATAAAGTTGATTTTGTATTTAATCATATGTAAATGTATGATAGAGATTTTTCGTGACCTCAGATATTTTGGATTACTTTTGTTAATATTTTTTAATATTTTGCAAATTCGGAACTACTTTTGAAGTCGCAATTACAAGGGGCGGTGTTAGGTAGGGAGAATGTACGTTAAGATATCTCCTTTTCCCCGTCACGAGATGAGAGAAACATGATATTTCGCAAGACATATGAAATATCCTCTATATACTGACTTCATTACAAACCTTAATTTTGTTAACATGAAACATATTTTTGGGCTGGATCATTTGAATGGAGCCAGGTTCTTCAAATCTGTTGGAGCCAAGGATTTCATTTTTACAAGTATCGTAATTAAACCGTTAAAGGTTGCAATATAACGGGTCGGAAGAAGAAATAAATATAGAGTAACAAGTATGTTGTGTCGTCGCTGTGGTGACGTCACACAGCTCTGGTAAAGTGCTGACCGTGAGAGCAGTCAAAGCCTCCCCTGGTGCCCGGGCAGATACAAACTCCATCCGGGGTGCACGTGCCTCCCGCCTTACAGCTCGTACCCTCTCGAAGGCAGTTGAACTCTGGAAGGACAAAGGTCATCAAAGGCAGATCATCGAGTATTCCTCAAACGGCCTAATAAATAATGTGTAAGGTACCGCGTTGCCCATGATAACAGTGAATACAAAAGACACTTTACCTACAGAGACACCGCGAACGTCTTCCTGCAGTAAAAGTAGCCAGATCCATAGCAGCACTCCCCTCATGGTGACACCCCGCGCTCGCATCTGGAAGATCACGGTGTGAAATGTTGTTATACCCCACTTCCAGTCCCCCCCCCCCCCCCCCCCCCCAACTTCAATTGTAATCAAAGCCAAGAGACACGAACTCCGAACCTTCTGACTGGAATATGACTGACACTTACACTCAACTGAGAAAGGTAAGGATGCATGTTGGAGCTATTTATGTTGTCAGTGTAAACATTTTGTGTCTGTTTCAGTCACTTTTATCATTTGTGATCCGTAAACCTTAAACCGGAGTGGAGTATACGTTTGTTTTACCCATTTTGTCCTCGGTGCATGGATCAATACACCAGCAAGGTCGTACCTGGATCCCCGCTCATTACCCCGATTACGCGACGAAGCTGTAGATGTATCGGGCCATACAACTCGAAAACCATACCAAATTACATGTGTACACTCTCTCTTGCCTTTATTTCTGACACCAGTACTTGTCACAGAAACGGTGTGCACTGAATGCATGTACACGTGACCCAAGCGTCCAAGCTTCTCATTTATAGATTCAATGTCGCCAACTACCCGCCCGTTTCTACAAAAAAAGACTGTTTTGTCCCACAAACCCGTTGAAGCGTTCGACAAAGAAGCAGTCTGTGTTAATGTAGGCCATGTTTGTCTAGCGCTTCAACGTATTTGTGGGACAAACTATAGTCTCTTCCCTTTCAAATAAAGTTAGTGTAAGATATTACTCTTACTGTACACTGATTTGATAACATTAGCAAATGTACCTACGACTTGTAAGTAGTGACCATATATGATGAGTGTAGAACTGATTGCTTGCTGATATTATCTCTTTCCGCTTACCATACACATTCTGTTTTAGTGGAATATGTTTTTCCGAGAATCATTAAATGCATACATTACACCATGACTACTGTCACCGCCTCCCAAACGAAGCAGTTCACGAGACAATGCCACTATACCACATGTAACACTAATTAGTCCCTTAATATACCCTTAATATACACATCTGTGAACGTGGCAGACCGTAAACATAAATGAGACAACTGAAACTCATTTGCTGCTTTTCCACGCCCTTCTTTGATTTAAAACACAGAAGGCATTAACCCTTATGTTGACTGGAAGAGAATATTATCAGCTAATCTCGAGGTAATAAGCCTTGTGGTAAACTAAGAAATATGTAACAGTAAGACAGAATAACATATCGACTCACCCTGATCACGTCCAGAGCGCAGCTAGCCCGACCAGGATGAAGTCTCAAAGCAGAAGCTAGCCCTAGGGGAAAGCATTAACACCCTGCTGCCCACCCGAGCGAGACATCATTGTGTGGCGAAGATAGCGTCTATATGTGACCCAGATATACCAGTCAAGACTTTCAACCCATTTAATTCTATCATGCCTTATCGGACAAGCAGCAGCAGGGTCGTACCTGGACCCCCCGCTCATTACCCCGATTACGAAGCTGTAGATGTATCGGCCCATACACCTCGAAAACCATACCAAAATACATGTGTACACCCTCTGTTGCATTTATTCCGGGATCGGGTGGTCAGACTCGTTGACTTGGTTGATGCATGTTCTCGTATCCCAATTGTGTTGATCGATGCTGATGATGTCAATCACTGGACTGTCTAGTCAAGACTCGATTATTTACAGCCCGCCGTCAAATAACTGGTATATACCTGAGTGCGGCGTCAAAGAACAAACAAACAAACAAACAGTAAGCAAGCAAGAAGGCTTATGTTAATACCTCTCCAGTACAAGTTATAGTCATGAGGGCATTATACAAAAATAAAACATTATAATAATCTAAATACTTTAAACAAAAGCAAGTGGTGGTGAACAACACTTTGGTGTTATGAGTAGTGGAAGAGTAATATGTCTGCAGGATTATAGTGTCACGTTTGTTTAAACCTTTACAATAAAAATATGAATGTACTGAAATAGTATATGGGGTGTGATTTGATCCCGGGGAGTCATTTGGGCCTACGAGAGTGGAGTACTCTGGGCCTCGTCCAAAGTCACACGAGAGTGATCTCCGCCCAGGTCCAAGTCACACTAAAGTGATCTCCGCCCAGGTGCAAGTAACCCTAGAATGATCTCCGCCCAGGCCTAAGTCACACAAAAATGATCTCCGCCCAGGCCAAAGTCACACAAAAATTATCTCCGCCCAGGCCTAAGTCACACAAAAATGATCTCCGCCCAGGTCCAAGTCACACTAAAGTGATTTCCGCCCAAGCCCAAGTCACACTAGAGAGATGTCCGCTCAGGTCCAAGTCACACTAGGGAGATGTCCGCTCAGGTCCAAGTCACACTAGAGAGATGTCCGCTCAGGTCCAAGTCACACTAGGGAGATGTCCGCTCAGGTCCAAGTCACACTAGAGAGATGTCCGCTCAGGTCCAAGTCACACTAGAGAGATGTCCGCTCAGGTCCAAGTCACACTAGGGAGATGTCCGCTCAGGTCCTAGTCACTCTCAAGTGATCTCCGTCCAAGCCCAAGTCACACTAAAGTTATTTCCGCCCAATCCCAAGTCACACTAGAGAGATGTCCGTCCAGGTCCAAGTCACAGTAGAGTGATCTCCTCCCAGGTCCAAGCCACACCAGAGTGATCTCCGCCCAGGTCCAAGTCACACTAAAGTGATCTCCGCCCATGTCCAAGCCACACTAAAGAGATGTCCACCCAGGTCCAAGTCACACAAAAGTGATGTCCGCCAAGGTCCAAGTCACACTAAAGTGACCTCCGTCCAAGCCCAAGTCACATTAAAGTGATCTCCGCCCATGCCCAAGTTACACTAGAGAGATGTCCACCCAAGTCCTAGTCACACAAAAGTGAACTCTGCCCAGGTCCAAGTCACACTTAAGTGATCTCCGCCCGGGTCCAAGTCACACCAAAGTGATCTCCGTCCAAGCCCAAGTCACTCTCAAGTGATTTGAGCCGGGGATTAGGTTGGGCCTCCTACATCGGCAAGGGATAATGTGTGAAGCGGATAAACCCTGCTTCAAGGTATGAGCAACAATCCGCCTGACAACTCAAAGGGCAAGCATAGAGTTTTGCAATCGGTTTTTATCTTGAATCACAGGGGAATGATACTCAACTTCACTTATGTTGAACTTATTCTTTCATTTGAAACACATATTCTACAAGAAACAAATAGATACATAGATAAAAGTGTTATCCAGTACATACAAATCTGGCATAGTTCTAACAATCTGACATCAGCGCGTGCACAATTCTCAGCAATAGTCCAGCTATATGACGTCGATCTCTAAATAATCGAGCCTTGACCAGACAATCCAGTGATTGCCTGACCTGCATCCGTCCCATCAGTGCGTGCATTGTTATCACAATGTGACATCAAGGAGTGCAATTTTTAATAGTTATTAACTTAACGCTGTAAAGAAAGGTTACGCCCTATAATAAATATGCACCCGGAACACACCGAGATTCATAATACATTATAATACAGTAAAATTTCAAAATACATTTAATACCGGACATATCAGCTGTCATGGGCTGATTATTATCTCATGCAGACAGCTGAATCGCTGTACATGCCCACATCATAAGATAGCGTCGTCACATGGGCGGGCCTATGCTGCATACAGCATTGTATGGACCCCGTGTGGATGGTTAACCCGGTAAAGCGCAAAAATGTGTTGCGAATTCCGACCACTTTGCTCAACGTGTTTTGTGAAGGATTAACTTGCGTGGCCATCCATAGAATGTGGTCAAGTGTTATTCTCCAGCTGACATCCCAGACGTTGTATCAGCTGTCCTCGTATATACGAGGAATAATATTGTCATTGGGACGGGGTTAAACATAACACGGTTGATAATGTTATGAAAAACAACTCTCAACCTCAATACGGTCATCCGCATCAATACAGAGTATTTCTTTAGCAGAGCAATACTCTTTTGGCATAAAGACATGAGGATGAAAGGGACATCAACATGAGACTGTTACTCCACTTGTCCTGCTGCGATATGGCTGAGGCAGTTCTTGGCTCTGATGTGAAATTCCCATTAAGCATCATTTACCCTCACTTGGAACAACAATATAACCTAAACATACATACATTTATATAAATATACAACTAGTATATTGCAATAACCAAAACTGACGAGAAAATTAAGCGTTACCAACCGACATTGTCTGTTCAAACAAACGAACAGGGTCAATATCAAGACACATACTTCTAAGACATACCTGTAAGAAACATATTTGTAAATTAAGTTATGTCGTGAATGAGAAGACAAAATTAAGGTATTATGTCCATAGTTTGGATGATGAGGACAGTTGTGCCGTCATCTCCAAACGGTTCGACGTCATGAACGCAGCAACGTTTTATTCGTTCTCTGTGTCTAAAGTAGACACGTACTCTTCCATTTGCTCTGAAAAGCTGGAGTCTTGCTCTCGCCTGTGACACTTTGCCAGTTTCTGTTCTGCCAGTATCGTGCTGTTCGAGCCCACCGATGTCTTCAACGTCATTGTCAGCGTTACGCTTCGTAGTGGTCTGTAAGCCTTGATATTGTATCGACTCAGTTTTCAACAGACAGGATGACCAATGTCTGAGACAAGTAAATAGCAGTTCCTGGGGGAGGTGACACTGGGGGTGGTGACACTCCTATGCCTGTCTCCCATCCGCAAAGTCTGCCTGTAACGGGCCATCAGCCTGGTGTCAATCATTCAACTACTGTCAGATCTGTTGGCGAGTTATTTGTCACTGCCCAACGGTCTGGGTGTGAATGAACAATACATCGGTTTTTATACCCGTATCTTTGTAGGTTGGAATGTTGTATGTGCAGCAGCATTTTCAAACTCAATTTCCACTGATCTGGATAAAGCAGCATGTTCATTACTCAGCAAATTGTTTTTGTGGTGTTTATGCCATTGATTTTCCCTCGTTTAGTTTCAAGTTACATCAAATGTTTTGCCTTTTATGACTATTATACACATTCTTATTAATTGAAAAGTACAGAGCTCCAACAGTTGTGAGTACAAACAAATTGTCTGTCAATTTGACGAAAACTACATACTTGGCTTTGCTACAGATGGGGTTGTATTGATATAAAAAAGATTTATTCTACTGGTATTTTTATTGTTTTGTTTAAACATAACCTACATCTGTACAATTATTATGTTTTAGTGAATAGTGAGATCATTTTAACATTCTTTTCATCCGTTGAATTTGTAATGTTATGTGAAAAGAAAACATATATCCCAACCCTCAAATATCAAATAGTCTGCACCTAGGAATGAAGTGACCAGATTTGTTGCACGCGACACAGTTACTAAACTAGGATAGCAAACTCTGTACACTGCACACGTAAAATACACTGTCCATGGTTATACATCCTGGTTACTTGCATGTGCCAATAACATCACAACCACGTGGTTCATTGATCCGGTACAACGAAGGAAAATGCCTCCAAAAGTACAATGGAAATGAAAACTTGCGCGCAATAGGCATGATTGAAGCTGGCCAATCACAGAATGAAGTTGCCCGATACATTGGAAGAGTGTGATATCCCGACTGATGGAAATATATCGGCAAACGGCTGGGGTTATAGTTAGGGTGGGTTAGAGGAAGGCCTAGAAAGACGGATGTGAGTCAATTCTGTATCAAAACTGAGGGACAACTCCAGGGTTGCCACAGGAAACCGACTTTCGACCTCAACGATACGAAACAGGTTGAAAATTGCGGGTCTGAAATGGGGACGTCCTTTCAGAGGAATGCATCGAGTCCAGTTTATGTTTTACAGATAGCAGACAGCGTGTTTGGAGACGGCGCGAAGGGAGGTACTATCCGGCAGCAATCCAAGAGCACGACAGGTATGGTTGTGGCAGCATCATAGGCTCAGCTGGCATCACATACGGAAACAAGGCCGGATCTTATGATCTTGGCCGGTCAACGTTAAGAGGACCAACTTTTACGTTCAGTGGTCATCCTATCTGGCCAGTGCGTAGTTCAGAACTTTGAGTTCCAGGGTGACAACGCACGTCTGCACAGAGCCCGTGTTGCAGTCGGCCGTCTGAAGCAGGAAGGTGACACAACATTGTCCTGACCTGCCAAATCTCAAGACATGTCCTGATCTGGGCCCAAGGGTTCGCAACCTGCCTCAACGTTCCCAGAATTTCCAACAGATTCGGCAGGCCTTACAAGAAGAATGACGAAGGATATCGGCGTCTGATATCCAGTATTGCCAGAAGACTTTACCAGAAAATAAAATTGCAACAGTGTAATTTTTGTGGCAAACAATTTTCTCTTTAGTTCAACTGGCTGAGGCATAATAATTGTTTTCAAGAACTTACTTGTTTTCGATAAAGTCACAGCATAGTTACAGAAACATGGATTATCT